GGGAGAAGGCCCAGAGGAAGACCCAGGACCCGCTGGAGGGACTATGTGTCCCGGCTGGCCTGGGAACGCCTCGGGATCCCCCCGGAGGAGCTGGCTGAAGTGGCCGGGGAGAGGGAAGTCTGGGTTTCCCTGCTCCGGCTGCTGCCCCCGCGACCCGACCCCGGATAAGCGGTGGACAATGGATGGATGGATGGAGTTGTATAAATGTCTCCCTTACTTTCTTAGAAACACATTCGTCGTGGTTATTTGCCACCACTTACCAGACACTTCTCCTAGGGTTATAATTTTCTGTGTGGTATAAAGCGAATAACTAATTGCTTTACTAATGCTATAAGCCTGATAACACTGTGCTGTGACATGCACCGTTCCCTGATAATTAAATGCATGTGTGGATCAGTGTTCAGCTGCCCCATATTCTCTATTTCCTCTCACTATATTTGAAAGCAAGCCTCATCTGCACAACACTGCTCTTTACCAGTATATGCAATTTGTGTCAGCTTCCCAGCAGATATTCCAAACATGGCTAATCCTAGTTGTAACCTTGGAAACCAGCAGTGTGTATTGGGTGATATGAGACATCTAACATAAATCTGTTTCATAAAGTCTGCACATTGTGTGTCGCTTGGTTTTCCTGCCCATTGATTTGTAATAGGTGATAAGTGTCTCTAGATTTTTTTGCGGATGTCCTGTTAGCCCTGCAGCTCCGCATCACAGTGTATGTGTTCCCTCTGCATCAGGGAGCGTCACAGATCGTCAGCAGAAGATGGTATTTTTGGTTTGTTTGCACCTTTTCCTATTCTGTCTTCTGTGAAACACCAGGGAGGGTCCTTTCCTAACCGCTGTGTGAAACAGTCATTTGCAGTGAAATCCTGTTTTGAGTGCCTCTCCTGGGAATATTGTTTCCATTCTGCATGGCTCCAAACAACCAGATAAGAGGAGCATCTTTAAGAAAAAAAAAACTGACTTGCATTCCCCTTTTGGTTCTGACACAGTCAATTTCCATTTGAAAGAATATTAGTGGATAGAGTGCAAGTAATATTACAGAGGATAAGTACTATTTCCAGTATTGAATTAGCAAATGCATTGGTATGAACTGAATCATCTCCACTATGCTCTGCTCAGTCTCTGTCGCCTGTGTTAGTCGTTTCATGTCTCATTCTTTATTTTCCTATGTAGGTTTATATTTGATAATAAAAGGCTCACCCTTTCAGACACAGAAACCATATCCTCAATTCTTTGAGTATAATGTTCTACTATCTGGCACCTATCCCTGCAGTGGTATCCAATCATTCTCTGCTGTTATGATCTCCTGTTGAATCCATCTCCGTCTGTCTTTCCAGCGTACTGTTTCCTTCCTCTGTGTGTTGACTCAGTTTTTCCTCCCCCAAAGCCATAAGGATTTTGATTACTGCAATTTGTCTGTTTCATAAAAAGTACAAAATACAGTGTTTGTCTGTGATCCACTGTATTAGTTATCTTGTTTCTCTTGTTGTTTTTACTTGATATTTTCTTTAAATCTTCCTCTGCTCCCCCTGTGCTCCTCTCTTCTAATGTGTGCCCCCTGTTTAATCTGACTTTATGTCGTCATCATTTTGTCCCTGTCCCTGTATCTAATTCACATAAACCTTTTGGCCCAATTGGTCTCTTTTCCAAGGCAGAAACTGTTAGCCAGTACTGCCATGGTCTGGTCAAACACTTTCACTGCCGAACATACTCAAGCAGAGAAATGTTCAGAAACTTGTTATATTGGTTTAATCTTCAATGACACTCAGCAGTGACCTGGTTTCTGGTTCTCTAGTAGCATTTGCATTGGCCGTTTGATGTCTCTGGTATAAACTGGTGAGCCTCATAGGTACATGTGAATACATGTGTGATGCTTTTTGGACAGTCACTTAGAATATGACTGATGTGATTGTTTTATTGAAGCTTTTTAAAATGCTCCATTTTATGGGGTCTCACCTCTCCCTAAGCATTGATTACTGTAAAACCTTTCAACCTTCAATCTTGTGTCTGTGATTGATGTCATTAATCTGGTAAAAGACATCCACTTGTGTATGCACTGGAGAAAATACAGTAAAGGATGCCACCTTACCTTGAATCATTCTAGACTGAATGTAAAGCTATGCTGCTGGCTGTTTTATCACAATAATTTAAAACTCAAGACTGTATGACTTGTTTACAAGCCTGAAACTATGCAAAGGTGAGTGAGAATAGGAGAACGTGTTATATTCATGATGTTACAGCTGTGTGTTGCTCATCTGTCAAATCCAAAATAAGATACAGAAGTACTTGTCACTGCCTGGACATTCTTTATGAAGCAATTTTGTATGGTATTGGATTATTTGGTTATGCAAGCCATTCCCTGAAAAATGCTTAAGCCTGTCCTTTTTAGTCCAGAGGAAGCAACATCCATGATATCGAAAATGACTTAATTTATCATTTTTCTGATCAAATAGCAATTGTTACTTTGCCTCACCCCATTGTAAACGAGCTTTGATGGAAGGATAGCAGTATTTATGGATTATGTTCACAAATTGTTTCCATTTGACTATAGGGTCAATATATAGGCAATGATATCTAGAATTGATCTTCAGACAGTGTAGGCATTTCTATCATACATTTCTGCCTGCTCTTATGCAATCATAAGTGAAGACCCAAAGCACGCAAAGTAAATATTGATATTGATGCCATATAATAAAACAATAGGCATGATACCTGTTTGCATTATTTCCTCATGTATTTGTCACCCCAATTGTTTTTAGATGTGTTGCTGCCATCAAATTGAAAATAAGCCAGCATTAGTCATGAAATGTTAAAATGTCTCATACTGATATTTACCAAGAGTTGATATATTTCAACTCTTTGTTCCAAAGTTTTCTTATAGCAGCAGCAGTTGTAGCACAACAAGCACTTTCCCTATAGAGCTGTTTCATGTTCAGAAAAAAAGGTGACTGTAAGTTGTTTTTACCCTCCAGTTAAGCAGTATTTGGACAGCACTCTGTGACAAGCCTATTCCATGAGGGACAATACTTTCATATCTGCATAATGATTTACATTACTAGTGTGTCCCTAGTGTTCTATGGTAGATCACTCTTGAGCAATAGTAAATTGTATTTTTGTTATTACACAAGACACAGCTGATAAAGCTGTCATCCACTGGTCCTCATATAACCCTGGCTTTAAATATTGTATAATACATTAAACGTTCTGTGCCTAACATGTGCAATGAGCTCAGGTGTTTGCAGGCACTTATAAAATTCATAATAAGGACCTGCAGTATTACCTGGGTATGGTCCAAGAATTCAGCTTGGTCAATGGAACTCAATGATACAATTATATGATATCAAATTCCAGTTGTCAGGGAGCCTGTACAAACCCCTTGAGGAGAGACTGCAAGACCAAGAGCCTTTTGGAGCCGTTTAACGCTATTATATATTATTTGAGTGCTCACAATTTTCAGGGGTTCTATTTAGTCTGATTACAAAAGCTTTTTAAACATCATTTTCCCAAAAAAATCTAATTAATCTGGTATAAATCTATCAGGAAAGCACATATAAAAACACAAATCCAAAATATCTAATGAAATTAATATCCTACCAATTTCACCAGAACAAACTTGTGTTTTGGTGCTGATAGCATCAAATAAATCAACAAAGAATAAGTGGTTAACTTTCGTAGCATACCAAGAAATATCTGACTACTTAGAGCACATGATAAAGAATTTGATCCCAATAAAATACTGTCAACATCGCTACATGAGGCTTCTTCAACTAGGTTGTATAAGAAGAAAAATTATTTATTTCTTATCCTTGCCTCACTAATTAACACTGTAATAAAAATCTTTACACTGCTAACCAAAACTAGGAAACTTCTGACCCTGAATCACCTAGAGCATCTATTTTATTACTGTACAGTTTGAATGAAAATAATTTTAATGGTTTGTGGAGAAATTTCTATTCAATTATGTGCATTTGAAATTGACTTATTTTAGTTTTGGCTGGCATCCCAGACCACGAGTGACTAAAGAATGACTGACCTTGGGTGGCTTCATGACTATGAGCAATAGATGAGGATTAACAGCTTGTGAGACAGCAGTTCCCTGAAGCCAATTGTCACTTTGTTCAGACGGAATGAAAGGGCTGGTGAGCCACACATCAGTCTGTTCTGTCATTAAAGCTATAATTCAGTAACCGTGACGTCTGCATATATACATTTAAAAAATTCCCAAATGTGAAATAATAGTAATGGAAAGTCTTTGGTTAGTCAACATGCTGCCTTATCATAATGTGTCCAACTTTATTCCACCCTTTCATTGTACATCTTCCCTGAGAGAGAAAATTGGATTTTAATTGCTTGAGTATATGAAGGTGGCAAAATCTCAAGATTAGTAAGCTCTGCCAGTGTTTGGCAGGAGCACAGAATTAAAGCAAGGGCAAAGGTCTAAAATGACATAAAGCCTCACATTCCCCTGGTGTGTCAGATTAAAAAACAATTCCGTTGTGTGCACTCAAGCAGTATTTATGGAATTAGGAGTTATTTAGTGTACATACTCACCAAAGTTACACATCAAAACTGAAACTACTTGTGGGGATTTAAAATACTGTAAAGTGCTAACTTCAAAATGTATCTTAGCTGTAAACGTTGGAAGTGATTAAGATGATTAATAAACATGATGGTTTGATATGTAGATAAAGGAACTGTGGACATAATGAGTCATAAGTTGGTGCAGTAACGAAAGATTGATAGGTTTAGGCACTATATAATTATTGTGACTCCAATCCGTTACAATATCTACATACAGCAATGATGTTAGTTTTAGTCTGTAGCTCCAAGTTTCCAATGATTCAGACAGTTTGTTGGTCACAACTGCAGATGTCAAAGGCTTTGTCAGCTATATTTGTGGCACATTGACTGTGATCAGAGCTTCTTCAAGCTAGCCTCCTGATGGGGCCTGTGGTTAATCTTGGACCTTAATTTGGCCTACATGGATCAGTCTTACCAGTGTGCCTTCTGGTGTTCTCCTTTTTCATTAATTCTCCCCTCTCCTGTTTCCCCCCTCCCCTGCTGCCAGAGCATGGATCCCACCTGCCCTCATCGAGCTCCACCTTAACGTCCTTGTTTTTGTCTTTCCTTTCCACATGTTCCCTCTTGTTCTCTGGCTCTATCCCCGGGCTTCGTTCCTGCTTCTCTGTCTGTACCTGTGATTCTGTTCTGGCGACACTTTTAACTTAGTCTTTGCTGTGTTCTGTTTTTTCCCCTGAGTATCTCCGACATCTGTTTCCTTCCGAAGCCATGCTCTCAGCTGCTGCTCTTTGCAACTCCACCCCTCCTGCAGCCTTTGGTACATGTGGCGGGAGAAGTGTCACCACCCCATTCTCTTGCAACATGTCCTGCACTTTGCTCAGGAGCTGTTTCACCTGTTCCTGCTCTACCCTGTTGCCTGATGCCTCTCTTCCTCAGCTTGTTCTTCCTCCCCGCTTAGCATGTTTTTTTCTCCCACCAGTATCTTCTCTGTTTACTTCCATTTCCATTCACATTTGGCTTTAGTCCCTCACGCTCACCAGTAATGGGCGCCTCCTTATCCAACACATGGCATCGATGGTGGCACCTCTCCATAGACCATCGCAGTGCAGGGCCTCCTGACTGGATATGTTCCTGAAACCAGGAACCTGCACGCCCTTTTCCTCTGCAAGTCCCCAAAAGTGAACACCACGTTTGAATATCTTCAGACCCAAATTTTGAAGAGATCCATCCTTCTTTCCATTGCTCTCCTCTGCTTCAGTGAAGTCCAGCAGAGGAATAACTAACAGGGCAACATGATCTCCTCTGGTCCCACGAAGAAAAAAAGCTCTCATAAGCTTAATTTTCTCATGTCAGGGAACAAACTCCTTAGATGTGTCCCAACCTTGTGCATCCACCACGGCCAAAAGACGTCCAGCAGTCATGCCTCTAGCAGCTGCACTCACCCCTCCTCCTCTGGTGTCAAACACCTGCCTCTGGCCCACAGAGTGTTACCAGTGGAGCTCCTGCCCTTGGACTGACCAGCAGAGTATTTAGTTGGCTGTGAGAAGACAAAATGGATTGAGCTTTCAATGTTAGGTCCCTGAACTCTCTAAAATGTCATGTGTACATAGCTAAGATAGTTAACATTCTCTGTAGCATACCCCTTGCAGATTGATCAGTTATGGGAGTCAAGAAGAGTAGCCCAATATTATTTTGATGTTAAGTGATGCTAAGTGGGGTGATTCATGTCTACCCACACTTGCAAGTACAACTTCACTTCACATGAATCATCTATCTCAGTGTGTGGAAATCTACTTCAAACTGAGGGAACATGTTTATCTTTTCTACAGTTCTCTGTTTTGCTGCAATTTTGTTTAAACAGTAATTGAGTTTTTTTTAAAATCCTTGACAAGTTCAACTGGAGCCAGATCTTCAGAAACATGTAAGATTTGAAAAACCTTGATTGCATTTCTACTGAACTGTATGCATTTGAAAAATGCCTACATATACTTGAACGCCAGGATTGAAAATGAACTTACCTGCAGGGTTCAAACTGCCCATTGTCATAGTCTGTCTAGGATCACGGGAATAGTCCTCCAATATATATTATCTCTCCACACCAACAGCAGTAATAAAAAACTTGATACTACAATGATACTTTACGCTAATCCTTGACCTGTGCTTCATATGTCTGATAAAATTTTCACCCGATGCTTGAACATGTTCATATTTTTTCTGATAAACACTCTGATTGAATCACCTCCAGTTTTTATTGTTGACTTGGGATTTTTAGGGAATATAAAGCTATCAAAGTTTTACGGTTCCTGTCAGGTTTGAACTACATGAAAACTGAACAGTATATCCGTTGACTTGTTGCATCACAGCAAAGCAGAGCTGAAAAGGTGTGCTGCCCATTGGGAAACAGCGTTAGAGGCTTAAATGCACCGTCCCCAGTTGAGATCCTTGTTGAAAAGAGTTATTTTCGATCACTTGTTTTATATCCTTTCATGTACAGCTGGATCATTCTGCCTGTTGGCCTCCACCGTCATTGTTTTATGGTTATCATAAAGTCATAACAAATCAGCTTATAAAGCGGTTGTGTAGAACTGAAGGCCTTTCAACATGTTTTTGTCCTGGAAATGTGCCACTATCCTTCTTACCTATTTGCTAAACAGTTTATTTGTGTCTTTCTGAGCTGTTTTAGTTTCAGTTGCAGGGTTGACCAGAGTCTTTTGCTAAGTGATTGATTCCAAGTTGACCGGGACTCACATGTTGTTTCCGTCTTCAGCTTTAATCTGAATCCATGCACCTTTGAGATTAAAGTTTACTCTCAACATGTGCCTGCTGTTTTCTGTAACACGGGCTTGCATTGTTTCATCTGTGTAAGCGGACAACGGAGTGACTTTCTTTGAACTGTTCACACAGAAAATGTTGAGTAGGTTTATTTCACAATGACATGCTGTTTGTCTTTCTTCAACATTACATGACTTGGGGGTATTTTTCAGTTGTCAGGTGTAAACATGTTATATTAGATGTCAGGATGCGATTTAGACAGGAGAAGACATGAATTTTAGCCACAAATGATACATCATATGCAGCTGCTCTCTACTAAAAAAATGGGGTTTTCCATGTCTTCCTGTGAATCATCTTATTTACAGTGTAAAGTAAGACATTTGTATCTCTATCACTTATAATCTTCTTATTCCCGGTTTGGTGTGAGTGAACAGGGCAGCACCCCAGCACAAACACTCAAACACACACACACAACCTGACCTGACACGCAAAGCCTGTGAAGGATCAGCTGGCTTTATAACTCAGTCTGTCTACGTCAGGTTGGTTGCTGAGGCCGCCTGCTGCATTTCTACACGTGTGGCATGTCATGCTTTTATATCTGTTAACACACGTGCTTGTGTTAAAGTTAAATATTATTTTAATTTATTTTTATCGAACGTCATGTTGGACTCAACAGCAAGTTTACTAACATTCCTTATACCTTTACTGTTCTTTTCTGTTTTCAACTTTGCTCTGATGCTTTGCTTTGCTCTGATTACTTTGCTATGCTCTGATTTATACATCCTTGTCCTTTTTCATCTATCAACTGCATAAAAAAACACAGTGACCTATCCTAACTGTGCTTTTAATTAGGTTAGTTCTTCTAATGAGGCTGCTTACTTCACAAAAAAACAGCTTTTTTTGCAGACTTTGGACTTATTAATGAACTGTAAATGCCAATGGGCAAGCATGAGTGTGCCACACACTCTGTTGAATATAAAACAACAGTATTACATTTGTTGTGTTCACCCTCAAGTAAATGGAAGTCCAGAATTGATTATCCAGAATAGAATATCTTGTTAGCAGGTAAATCCTCTTCTGAGGTCAACCTCTTCTGAGGTCCTCTCCAAGTGTATCAGTTAAGTGAAGTTGCATGCCATAAAAGCTAATCATGGAGCTAAACTTTAAATGCTGCAGAAAGCTGTGCGAAACGGCAGCAACACCAATAGTCTTTGGGTTTGCCACCACAAGTGAAAGCGATTAATGCTATCTCACTGCAGATTGCACACACAGATAATTAATTTAGGGTCCACTTAATAAATTATGCCAACAGGTTTCCCCTAATATTGACTTTCTTTAATAATGGATTTATTCCACCTTCCTGTAGTTTGTTTGTGTCAAGGACAGCAGTGCTCTCGTCTCTCTATCTATCATTCTGTCCCCTTTAAATCTCTCCACCCCTCTCATCTTATGACCTCACATCTTTCTGTGCTTCATCTCCTTTGCTCGTCACTCCTCTTCTTCCCCCCTTTCCTCTTCCCCCTGTGCTCTTTTAAAAAAAAAAAATCTTCTCACGCGTCTGGCCTTCTCCTCTTTCTCTTATCTCTTTGCTGCTCTTCCCCGAGGAGACACTGAACATTAGATTTACAGTAATTCAGTATGGTAAAGAGAGAACAGGGCTTTAAAAAGAAACACCACCATTGCTTGTGTTACCATCAGCTCCTCTCTATACCTGCCAGCTCTGCCCACAGTGCTTATTTTTCAGTGTGACACTAATGTGGCTGGTAAGATATGAGTCATACCATAAATCTGCATGAACAATTTAAGAATGTGTTGGATTTGGCCAAATATTTAAAGATTTAGTTTGGTCTTATAAAACTTCTGAGGAGGGAATTCAGATATTGCCCTTCCGAACTTTCAGTGGGATGGGCTTTATTTGTAGCCATTAGTCCTCCTACCCTCTGGCTGCAACCTGTTTTTAACACAAAAACGTTTTCTAACTAATCCTCCATAGACTGTATCGACATTGCTGCATTAGTTCTGCACAGTTGCTTCTGTATGTGCCTTAAATTGTGCTAAAATTCTGTTGCCTTAGACACTGAATTAGGCAGGAGGAAACAGGACACTGCATTAGTTATGGATACCAGCCACTTCCCTCTGTGGTTCTGACAGGCAAACTTCACTTATGCTTTTTTTTATTTTTACAAGTCTGATTTAAATATGGTTATTTTGCATAACTTTTTACATCTCATCATGGGCACTAAGATCTATGTCTTTTTTATGATGCCATAAAAAAAAATCTAAATTCTGATGGAGGATAAAATATTTTTTAACGCCTCGCTCAGCTTTTTTTTTTCCCTATTCAACATAGACAACAAATAGATCAATGGAAAAACCCACTAATTTATGGCTTTTGTGTGTGCAGTGGGAAAGGACACAGTTGGTACTCACAACTAGGTAAAAAGTCTCTGCTGTAGTTCTGCTTATTTATCCGGACCAGTGCTGATCAGTATTTCCTTTTTTTTTTTATCAAAAAAAGGAAATACTGATACTGACTGAATCCCAGTCATTTCCATCTGTGACTTTTTTAACTATCTAAGCCCTATATTTTCTTATTTAATCAAGAAAAATTAAGCTTAGACTATTTAATGCTCATACTGACTTGTGGACCCTTTAAAAAGTGGAAAATGCCCGCAGTCAGAAATGTCAGCATTCGCTACCTTACAATTTTCGATCATTTGTAAATATTACATACATCTGTGCCATGGGCTGATTGGCCCATGGTTGAATTAGTGTGTATTTTTTTTAGATGTGTGCATGCGCTTGTCAGTTTGATTAGCAGTATCATCAGCACATACAAGTTTGTAGATTTCCTTTGAAGCAAGCGTTTACTTCGTCGCCTCACAGCAAGAAGGTTCTGGGTTCGATTCCTGTGGGACCCAGGACCTTTCTGTGTGGAGTTTGCATGTTCTCCCTTTGTCTGCATAGGTTCTTTCCGGGTTCTCCAGCTTCCTCCCACAGTCCAAAATCCTGCATGTTAGGTTGATTGGACATTCCAAGTGGCCCTTAGGAGTGAATGTGAGTGTGCGTGGTTGTTTTTCCTTGTATGTCTTGTGTGTGGCCCTGCGATGGACTGGTGGACCGTACAGGGTGTACCCACCCTCTCGCCCATTCACTGGGATAGGCTCCAGTTCTCCCCACAACCCCATTAGGGAATCAGCGATAACGATAATGAATGGATGGATTTTAACATGGAATGCATGTGAGCTGTTAGTAGTTTGATCCTATACTTGAACTTTGATCCTTTCACGATTACACGGCTCTCTTAATTCTTCAGCCTCTCAGGCTTAGAGAGCACCTTACAAGCTAACAGGCTAATGATGACACATTTTCTGTCCCTTGTTGACATTTTGAGATAATGTTTTGTTCCAATATTGGTGTTTTTTATGTGCTAGAAAAAGATCTGTAACTTTTTTGAGAGTTTAGAGATGGAAAATATCAAATGTGGAAGAGAGTTGGCAGAGGAGATTCTTTGCAGCTCATGGTCCAACCTTGTGGGGGAAGAGAGGCTGTTACCAGTGAGACAAAAGGGGGAGAGGCATGTTTCCATGATTTGTTTGGTCAATTCAAAAGAGAGTTTTCAACTTTTGCCACAAAAAAGGAATTTGCTTGTCTTCATGGTTCATTTGTCCGAGTTATATGCTGTTAACTGTGATTAAAA